GCAAAGTGCAGAGCAGTGCAGCCCGAGTGCTGGCTCCGGCCCGTGCTGACCTTGGACCTGCCCAACCCTGCGGGGCCGCTCCGGGAGCAGCGCTGTGCCAGCTCAGCTGAACTCGGGGCCAGGCAGAGGCTCAGCCCGTCCTCCTGCGTCCCACGCAGAGCAGCCCAGCTGCAGCCGGGATGGATGCACCGCGCTCCCCATCCCGCGTCGCCCGCCGTGCCGAGCGTGGCGCTGCTTTATGGTGTTTGCTAACGCTGCTCACACCCATGTTGTCCCGCAGGGACCCGCACAGGGCCGGCGGGAAGGGCAGGAAGCCGCACCGATCTGCAGCGTGCGCCTGCGTGAGCCGCGCGCAGAGCTTTGAAACCCCATCCGTGGCCCCCGGCCTCTCGCTCGGCCCCTTGGCAAAGCCAGCCCTGGTTGGCACGGAGCTGAGCGCGTCCATCCCGCTGCCCTCGAGCCACCCCGCGGCCGCTGCCCCACATCTGTGGGCCGTCGAAGGGGCTCCGCTCCCGGCTCTCGGGGCGGGATGAGGTCGGGACGCGGCGGGCGGAGGCGCCGGCAGGGCAGGGACCGGGTCGGTGCCGGGGCTGAGCCCCGCGCGGCTCCCCGCCTTTCCGCTCCGGTGCCCCGACGGCCGGCGCCGTGCCGAGCCGCGCAATGCCGTTCCGGGCGGGGCCGCACTACATCTCCCAGCGACCCGCGGGTTCGTTCGGCCCCTCCGCTTCCCTCCGCTTCCCGCCATGGCGCCGTTCGAACCGGCGGCGCTGCCGGAGCTGCTCCCGGTGTTCTACCGCCGGCTCTTCCCGCACGGCGCCTACGGCCGCTGGCTCGGCTACGGCGGCGGTGAGCGGCGGAACCGGGCTGCACCGGGCGGGGCGCGGGGAGGGGAGTGCGGGGCCGAGACCGCGCACCGGCGGGGTCCGCGTGCCCCGCCAACCCCCCAACCCACCCCGCACTCCCGCAGTGGAGAAGAACTACTTCCAGCTGCGGGAGTTCTCCTTCACGCTGCGGGACGATGTGTACGTGCGGTTCCAGTCGTTCGGCAGCCCGCAGGAGCTGGAGAAGGAGCTGCAGAGGACCAACCCGTACAAGATCGACATCGGGGCCGTATATTCGCATCGCGTGCGTTCCCCCCCTTCCCCCGCCCCCAAACTCCCCGGTGGCTGCGGGAGGACAACGGGGTGACCCCTCTGCTCCCCGCAGCCCAACCAGCACAACACGGTGCACCTCGGGGCGTTCCAACCCGTGGAGAAGGAGCTGGTGTTCGACATCGACATGACCGACTATGACGACGTCCGGACGTGCTGCAGGTTCCTGGGGGGCTGGAGGGGGGTTGCAGCCCCATAGAGCCGGGATGACACCCTTCTGACTGCTGTGCTCTGCCCGCAGCTCGGCTGACATCTGCTCCAAGTGTTGGACTCTGATGACCATCGCTGTCCGTGTGATTGACCGCGCACTCGTGGGTGAGAGATGCAGGGAGGCATGCAGCTCTGTGCTCTGGGGACATGTCAGACCCCGCTGCCCTTCATAGTGATGCCTTGAAGTGGGTCTGGGGAAGCGCTGCTGTGGGACCAGAGCAGGAGCAGAGGGCATGCAGGTGCCTGGCCTGCTCCTCCAGCCCCTCTGTGCCCCACAGAGGACCTGGGCATGAAGCACCGCCTGTGGGTGTACTCAGGACGGAGAGGTGTGCACTGCTGGGTCTGCGACGACGCCGTACGCAAATGGTCCCCAGCGCTGCGTGCGGCTGCTGTGGAGTACCTGAGCCTGGTGAAGGTGGGTGTATGGGCGGGTAAGGGTGGTGCTGCCCACCTCCTTGGGCTGACCACGCTGTCCTTCCCAGGGTGGGGCTGAGACGGTGAAGAAGGTGAACCTCTCGGAGCCCGTGCACCCCTTCATCAGGTGGGTGCAGATGTGCTGTCCGGTGCGGAGCTGATGGCCGTGGGGTGCTGAGCTTCTCCATCTGCTCTGCAGGCGGTCGGTGAATGTGGTGGAGAAGTACTTTGAGGCGTACGCACTGCAGGGCCAGGACATCTTGGGCAGCCCCGAGCGCTGGGACAAAGTGCTAGCCCTGGTCCCAGAAGGTATCCTTCCAGCTGCTCTGCTCAGGGCGGGCAGCGGGGTTCGTGCTGGCTGTGATTGGCCTTAACAGCCGGGCAGAGCAGCGTGAGCTGCTGCAGACTGAGTTCCCCAAGAAGCGTGACTCGGTGCAGCGCTGGGAGCTGCTGAAGGGCCGCATGGAGCGGACGCGGGTGAGTGGCTGTGGGGTGGTTCTGGGGTGGCTGTGGGGTGGCTGTGGGGTGGCTGTGGGGTAGCTTTGGAGTGCCTGTGGGGCGGTGCTGCCCCCTGACTGCCTGTACCCACAGCGGGCAGCAGCCAATGGGAAGGGCACAGCATGCTATGCAGACTGGGAGATCATGCTGCAGTACTGCTTCCCACGACTCGACATCAACGTCAGCAAAGGCATCGGGCACCTCCTGAAGAGCCCCTTCAGCGTCCACCCCAAAACAGGTGGGTCCCTGTACCCCAAAATGGGGGGTCCAGCTGTTTGTGAGGTCAGCACCCCACGCTGGGCACCCTGGGCAGCAGCTCTGTCTCTTGCAGGCCGCATCTCAGTGCCACTGGACCTGCAGAGGTTGGATGACTTCGACCCGTTCGCAGTGCCCACCATCAGGTCGGCACATTGGGCTGTTGGTGGGGGGATCCCCGGCTGTGGGCAGCCCCCCACATCCCGCCCTTCCCTGCAGCTCGCTGTGCCAGGAGCTGGATGCAGCTGGTGATGATGCAGAGCAGGAGGACAGCGAGGAGACGGAGCCGAAGCGGCGGATGCGGGGTGAGAGGGGCTGGGGGGCAGTGGGGTGGGTTAATTGCAGGGGTGGGCAGGCCGGGTTGGGGGGTCCAGGCCCAGCTCCCACTCACCCCCATCTCCTCAGACTACCGGCGGACACAGCTGGCACCCTACGTGAAGGCCTTCGAGCAGTTCCTGGAGGAGATGGAGCACGCGCGGCGTGGAGAGCGGCTGCGGAGGAGCGGTGAGCGCTGGGGGGACCCGCCGCTCCCAGCTGCTCTTTATTGTTTATTGTCTTTTTTGTTAATTGAAAACCTAATGAGGTTCAATAAGGCCAAGTGCAGGGTGCTGCATTTGGGTCCATCCCAGGTATTTATACAAACTGGGGGAAGATCTCCTTGAGAGCAGCCCTGCGGAGAAGGACTTGGGGGTCCTGGTGAACAGAGGCTGGACACGAGCCAGCAGTGTGAGCCTGCAGCCAGCTGTGTTCTGGGCTGCATTAGAAAAGGGGTGGCCAGCAGGGACAGGGAGGTGATTGTCCCCCTCTACTCAGCTCTTGTGAGGCCCCATCTGCAGCACTGCGTCCAGGCCTGGGGCCCCCAGCACAAGAAAGATGCAGAACTCTTGGAACAGGTCCAGAGGAGGGCACTGAGATGATCAGAGGGCTGGAGCAGCTCTCCTATGAGGAAAGGGTGAGGGAACTGGGCTTGGAGAAGAGAAGGCTGCGGGGAGACCTCATTGTGGCCTTCCAGTGCTTGGAGGGAGCGTATAAACAGGAGGAGGAACGGCTGTTTGTGAGGGTGGATGGTGATGGGACAAGGGGGAATGGCTTTAAACTGACACGGGAGGTTTAGGTTGGATATGAGGAGGAAGTTTTTCAGCCAGAGGGTGGTGAGGCACTGGAACAGGTTGCCCAAGGAGGCTGTGGATGCCCCATCCCTGCAGGCATCCAAGGCCAGGCTGGATGTGGCTCTGGGCAGCCTGGGCTGCTGGGTGGTGACCTGCACACAGCAGGGGGTTGGAGCTGGGTGAGCACTGTGGTCCTTTTCAACCCAGGCCATTCTGTGATTCTGTGATCATTTGATCTCTAAAACCCCATTTCTGCTCTTTCCCAGACCTGCAGGGAGAGTTCTGACCACGCTGCCGGCAGCCCCTGCCCTTGGGAGGCCGTTGATTGACGTTGATTGACGTTGATTGACGTCTGCTGCCGCTGCGGGGCAGGGAGACTGACCACTCCCCCCCCGGTTCCCTTCTCACTTCTTTTTATACTGTTTCTACTTTTTGTACCCAAAATCCATTAAAGGGCGCTGCTCAGCCCCGTGTCCGTGTCCCTGGGGGGCGGAAGGGATGGGGCTCCCGCGGGACAAAACTCGGAGCGGGGCACAATTCCCGTTCCCGGGGAACGGCTCCCGTTCTCATGCCCCGGAACGTCCGAACGTGGCCCGGAACGCCCGAGCGCAGCCGGCGGAGCGGGCGGGCGGAAGTGCGTACCGCCTCTCCCCCGGAAGTGATTCTCTTTCCGGAAGTCGCGCCTTCTGCCGCTTGGTCTCTTTCCGCCGCCATCTTGGGCTCCGCTTCCCGTACAGTGAGTGTCGCCGCCGCCATCCGCCTCCATCCGCGACCGCGTGGGGCCGGGAGCGCGGCCGGGCCGGGAGGGAACGCGGGAGGGCGGCGGCGGAGCGGTCGGGGCCGTCGGTGGGGCCAGGGCGGCTCCGAGAGGGCAACGCCGGGGCGGCCCGCGGGGACGGCTCCGCGCGGCGGGGGGAGGCGGCTGAGGCCGCGGCCGGGCCGGGGAGAGGCGGGAGAGCCGCGTAGGCCGCTGCCGTCCCGAGCCATGGGGCGGCGTGGGATCCGCTCCCGTCTGCTCCGTGCCGGCTCCGCGCTGTGGTTACCGTTGCGGGCAGCAGCCGGGCGGCCCTCGGTACCAGTTGATCTCCGAGCGTCCGGTGTGCGGTGGCATTGGGTGAGACCCGTTGCCGGCGGCTGAAGGCGGCCCTTCGGGGATTTCTCGGGGCGGCCGCGAGTCCGGTGTGGTGTTTTTTCCCCTTATTCACGCAGAAATGCCTGGCGAAGCTACAGAAACCGTCCCGGCCACAGAGCAGGAGCTGCCGCAGCCACAAGCCGAGACAGGTGAGCCGGGGGCCCGGACCGGTGCTGAGGGAACCGCTGGGCCGTGAGCCCATGGCAGGGGGAAGCAGCAGTGGGGCGGCTGAGGGCAGCACTGCGGGCTCCGTGCTGTCCTGGGGTTCACTCGGTCCCAGCCCAACCCTTGGCCAGCTGGGCCCAGCAGTGTTGGTGGCCCTGGGTTGCAACATGGGCACCTGCCGTCTGCCCTTGTATCGCTGTGCTGCTCGCTGTGCCCGGGTAAAAATCTACGTGTGCTTTGCGCCCGTGTGCCTGGTGTAACATCTTTAAAGGCAGGGGTTACTTTCAGAGGAAGCTTTTGTCACCGAAGTTGTGTTTTTTGTCTCTGCATGGTGAGGGAGATGTTGCATCATCTACACTGTGGCATGAAAACGCACGTGGGAAGAGCGTGCAGTGCGTGATGGGCAAATAGTTGATGTGCCAAGGGTGTGGGAGAGGTGGGACTGCAGGAGAAGCTGGGGCAGCCTGAACAGTCAGAAGCTGCTAGCAGGGTGTATTCATTGCCAGGCAGTGGCCTCCTGGCTCTTAGAGCTGGTTGAAGTGATGGCTGCTGTGTGACAGCTGTGTGGCTGTGTCTGGGGCAGCTGCTCTATTCCCTGTCAGGCATAGCTGGGATTCCTGCAGCTCGGTTGCCTGCCAGGGGCTTGTGTCCATGGGGCCTCTCCTGGGGCACTGTGCTTCACTGGGTCACCTTCTGTCAGTGCTGTGCTCCTCTCAGATCTCTCATAGAGTCGTGGAAGTTGGAAGAAGTTGATCCCAGGTTCAGCTGCCAGTGCTGTGACAGTGCTGTCCCCTGCCCTGGGGGGTGGCGTGGGGTGGTGAGGCAGAGCAGGGCTGGTGGACCCCTCTTGGTTGTTGTGGAGGTGGAAGGGTGTGCACAAGGACTGTCGTGGTCATCCTGTCTGTGCTGAGCCAGCCCCCCTGGGGCCAGGCCAGGCAGGAAGCCAGGCTTTGGAGGGCTCTGGTGCAGGGTGGGAATCTTCAATGGCTTCCTCTGGCTTTCATCTCATGCTTCAGAGGTTAGCTGGTGTGTGGGAAGTTTATGATGCTCAGCACAGAGGTCTCTGTGCAGGGCAGGGCTCCAGTCTTTAGCATGCATGTGGCCTGGTCTTTGCAGTCTATTTATTGTAAACATCCCTTAACAAATTACACATTGTTTGCAAGAGTCCCCCACTCCACATTTGTTTGTGGAAGTGGCTGCTGGAGAAGGAGGGGTTATCTGTGGGGCTGATTACAGGACGGCCTCACACTGTGCTATCTGGTGTATGTGGGTGAAGGAACGGAGAGGGCTGAACAGAATTTTTCTTAAGAGAGCAGAGTTGTTCTTTCTGCTTGTTCAGTATGGGGCAAGAGGCCAGCTTGCTCTTGGCAGGACGCACTGCTCCTTTTTGAAGTGTTTATGGCTTCCCCCAGAACTGAAGTGTCCTGGTTAATGCTGGCTGTCCTGGCCAGTGGCTGAAGCATCCAGCAGAGCAGCTGCAGGCTCCTTTCCTGCCTTGCATTTTGGAATAGCATGGGGTCAGCAGGGTGTTAGAAACATCTTCTGAGCCGTGGTTCTTGGGGAAGAAAAAGTGAACCCACCTGAAGATGAAGCTGCTGTAAATCTTTCCTGTGTGTGTTGCTGCTCTGGACAATGGAGAGGTGAGGTGTGGAGTACCTGACCGGCTCTAGTCTCAATTTGGGAAAGATAGAGCCCTCCTGTGGGTGGTCCATGTGAAGTGACTCCTTCCTGCAGGTCAGCAGGCAAGAGTCAGCACCCAGAAGGGAAAAAGGAGGAAATCTGCTCCCGTCACATGGCTGCAGCTCTCTGACCTGGGCTGGGACACTCAGCCCTTGGCAGGAGGCCTGGCCACATGCCCCGTCCTGTCTCCATGTCACAGTGGGTGTGCAGAGGTGTGCTGTCCACAGAGCCGGTTCTGCTCTCCTGACTGGTGGCACTGGTTGTGCTGGTCTGATCAGTGCTGCTGCCATGGGCTCTCACACTGCCTCTCCCCTGCCCGGGGCTCCTTTGGTTCTGTGTCACGCGTTGGGAATGGCCCAACTGGAGGGCTTTGTGGGCCTGCTGCATGGAATGGGACGTGTGGTAACAATCTGTCCTTCTCACCGTTCAGTTCCAGCTGCCCTCCCTCCTGCAGCCCCTGCTGCCACTTCTCCTGCCGCAGCGCCAGGTACTCAGAGCTCCTCAGTAACACCCCGTGTGTCACATTAACCACAGTGTGCTGTTCTGGATGTTTGCAGTTGCATTAACCCTACTGGTGTGCAGAGGGAGAACTCTGGGACCTGGCCATGTCCTGTGCTCAGATGAGCCAGGCAGACTTCCACCTGCTGCTCCTGGGGAGGTTGGTGGGGGAGGCTAGCTGGCTGCTGCTCTCCTGCTCAGTCTGTGTCATCCCTGAGCCAGGGACCGCTTCCCAGTGCTGGGGAGTGTGCTGGAGCCCAGGGTGGGTTCCCTGAGAGCCCTCGGGGCACTGTGCACTGGGCTTCTTCCCAGAGCCCCCATCCTGGGGGCTCGAGATGTGGGGAGCCCAGAGCCAGAAGACAGACGACATGCTGTTGTGGGTGTGTGTGTGTTTCTTCCTGTGCTGCCCTTGTTTTCTCCTTTTTCCTCATGGGTTCACTTTGTTTCTTTCCTTCAGCTGTTCTTCCTGCTGCTCATTCCCTGCCCCTGACTCCAGCCCTGGGCCCAGCTGCCCAGGCTGTTCCCACGGAGCCACCCAGCTCTGCCCCAGCTGTGCCCCCAGCCCCTCTCTCCCCTGCTGTGGTTCCAGCTGCAGCAATTCCTGTCTTTTCTGCCCCTCCCCAGCCCTCTGCCCCAGCTCTGCCCCTCCCAGTTACTTCTTCCCCTTCTCCAGCTCCACCATCCCCAACTGGTTTTGCTGCCCAAGGTTCTCCAGGGCCTACTGCTGTCCCAGTCAGCCCAGTGTCTCCAGGACTCCCAGTCCCAGCGTCTCCAGTTCTGGCTACTCTTCCTGCTGCGGGACAGGCAGCCCCCCCAACTCCAGCGAGTCCTGGCTGTCTCCCAGCTGCTCTTATGCCTCCTGTGAAAGTCTCTACTCCTCCCAGCCCCACTGGAGCCACAGCATCAGCCCCTCACCCTGCACCTCCCAAGAGCCCCGGGGCAGCCCCAGCTGCTCTGCCCCTGGCACCTCCCCCAGGAGCAGCCCCTGCAGGTGCCACAGCTCTTCCCCAGAGCCCCCCTGCGATGCCAGTGCACCCTGCTGCACCTCTGCCCCCTCCAGCTGCCCCGCTGAGCCCAGCCCTGGCAGCCACCATCTCCCCACCCATCTTCCTGTCTGCCCCCATGGCGTTGGCCCCTCTGGTGCCAGGTGGCACAGTCCCCTGCAGCACTGCTGCTCCCCTGCGGGGCCCTGTGTCTGGTACTCCCATCTGTCCGCTGGCTCCAGCTGCTCCTCCTGGGACCCTGACCTGTCCTGTGGGCCCTGCCCTGGCAGCCCCTGGCACCCCTGCAGTTCCCCATTCTGTGGCCAGGCCACCCACTGGGAGCCCAATTCCTGTGACAGCCCCTGTCCTGCTCAGCCCATCCCCGGCAGCTGCCTTGTCCCCCTCAGGGCCACCAGCAGCAGCAGCAGCTCCAGTTAAAGCAGCTCCAGCGATCCCTGTCTCACGGCCAGCTGCTGTGAATGCTGCTCCTGCCAGCCCCCTGCCTGTCACATCAGCGATAGCAGATCCAGCCACCCCTCCTGCAGCGAAAGGAGCACCCCAGAGCCCAGTACCTGCTCCACTGACTCCCTCTGCCCCTGCTGCACCAGCTCCTGTGGTTCCTCCAGCTGCCCCTGCTGCCACCAAAGCAGCACCCCAGAGCCCTGTCAGTAGCTCCTCTGTTCCTGCTGCTGTGGCTCCTGCAGCTGACCCAGCTCCAGCTGCCCCTGCTGCCAACAAAGTGGCTCCCAAGAGCCCTGTTGCTGCCCCCTCTGCTCCTGCTGCTGTGGTTCCTGCAGATTCCACAAATCCAGCTGCCCCCGCTGCCACTAAAGCAGCTCCCCAGAGCCCTGTCAGTAGCCCCTCTGTTCCTGCTGCTGTGGTTCCTATAGCTTCCCAAGCTGCAGTTGCCCCTGCTGCCACCAAAGCAGCTCCCCAGAGCCCTGTTGCTGCCACTCCAGCTCCTGCAGCTGCCCCTGCTGCCACCAAAGCAGCTCCCCAGAGCCCTGTTGCTGCCACTCCAGCTCCTGCAGCTGCCCCTGCTGCCACCAAAGCAGCTCCCCATAGCCCTGTTGCTGCCACTCCAGCTCCTGCAGCTGCCCCTGCTGCCACCAAAGCAGCTCCCCATAGCCCTGTTACTGCCTCTGCAGCTCCTTCAGCTGCTCCTGCTGCCACCAAAGCAGCTCCCCAGAGTCCTGTTGCTGCCCCCTCCATCCCTGCTGCTTCAGTTCCTGCAGCTCCCCAAGCTGCAGCTGCCCCTGCTGCCAGCAAAGTGGCTTTCCAGAGCCCTGTTACTGCTGCATCAGCTCCTGCAGCTCCTTCAGCTGCCCCCTCTGCAGCCAAAGCATCTCCTGGGAGCCCAGCTGCTGCCCCCTCTGTCCCTGCCAGCTCTCCACCTGTCACACCTGTGCTGACAGCTCCAGCTGCACCTCCTGCAGGCAAGAAGTCCCCAAAGAGCTCTGCTGCTGCCACATCCTCTCCTGCTGCAGCAGCTCCACCAAATCCTGCAGCTCCAGCTGCCCCCACTGCAGCCAAAAAGCCCCCAAAGAGCTCTGCTGCTACCCCCTCTGCTTCTGCTGCACCAACTCCAGCGGCCCCCCCTGCAGCCAAAAAGCCCCCCAAGAGCCCTGCTGCTGCTCAGTCTGCTCCCTCTGCTCCTGCTACAGCTCCACCAGCTCCAGCGGCCCCCCCTGCAGCCAAAAAGCCCTCCAAGAGCCCTGCTGCTGCCCAGTCTGCTCCCTCTGCTCCTGCTACAGCTCCACCAGCTCCAGCGGCCCCCCCTGCAGCCAAAAAGCCCCCTCTGCTCCTGCTACAGCTCCACCAGCTCCAGCGGCCCCCCCTGCAGCCAAAAAGCCCCCCAAAAGCCCCACTGCTGCCCCATCTGCTCCTTCTGCCCCTGCAGCTTCAGCATCTTCAGCTGCAGCCAAAGCACCTCCCAAGAGCCCCACTGCTGCCCAGTCTAATCCCCCTGCCCCTGCTGCAGCCAAAGCACCTCCCAAGAGCTCCACTGCTGCCCCATCTGCTCCTTCTGCCCCTGCAGCTCCAGCATCTTCAGCTGCAGCCGAAGCATCTCCCAAGAGCCCCACTGTTGTCCCATCTGCTGCCTCTGGCACTGCAGCTCCAGCATCTTCAGCTGCAGCGAAAGCATCTTCCAAGAGCCCCACTGCTGCCACAGCAGCCCCTGCTGCTTCCTCTGCCCCTGCTGCAGCCAAAGCACCTCCCAAGAGCCCCACTGCTGCCCCATCTGCTTCTTCTGCCCCTGCAGCTCCAGCATCTTCAGCTGCAGCCAAAGCATCTTCCAAGAGCCCCACTGCTGCCACAGCAGCCCCTGCTGCTTCCTCTGCCCCGTCTGCAGCCAAGGCAGCTCCTGCCAGCCCGGCAGCCCCTGGCACGCTGCCTCCGGCTCCAGGTGCTGCTGCCTCAGCCCCAGGGGCTCCTGGTGCCCTCCCGAAGCCAGCAGCTGATCGTGCTACCCCCACACCCCAGAAAACAGAGGCCACTCCTCCTGCCTCTTCTGTGCCAAATGCTGCCCCTGCCAAGAAGCAGCCCCCCACCAATAAAGGCAGCAAGCAGGCCCCACGTCCATCCCCAACCAAGCCTCCTGTGAAAGCCCCCGTTCCTGCCAGTGCTGCTGTTGATGACGATGATGACCTGCCCCCCCTGATCCCCCCCGAGGTGCCCGCTGCGGAGCCGCCGCTGCAGCCCATCCTGGTGGACCTCTCTCCCCGAGCAGCCGTGGCCCCTGCTGAGGCCCCTGCTCCTAAGCAGCCCATCGTGAAGAATGACAAGGGTACTGCTGGTCAGCACAGTTTGCCGTGTGCATGGAGTGTCACTGGCTGCCCACCAGATACTAACCCACCACGGGGCCCCGAGTGACCCCGTGTCGCTCGGTGTGTCCGTCAGCTGTGGTGTGCCGTGCTGAGAGCGGGGTGGGGGGTGGGGGAGGGCTGACACTGTGCCATCACCTCTCCAGGGCTCGGCACGGTGCCTGCAGGCTGCTGTCACTAACAGTGTGTTCTCGGGCACGGAGCATGGTGTGACCTGTGTGAGTGCTGGGACTGCTGCCTGAGCTGGCTTCACGCTGGAACTTTGGGAAGAGCTGCTCCGTGCTGTGCCCAGCTGTGTGTGTTCACTGTTGGCTGTGGGTTTCCCACTGTCCATCCCCAGAAGTGTGGAGCTGGGGGCTGTGCTGGTGCCAGGTCCATCCTGGGCTGTTGGCATCTCCCAGCAACCTGTGGGGACCTTTGTTGGGGCTCCTGTGTGTGTGGTGCGTACAGAGACCCTTTCCAGAGAAGGAAACAGGCGTGAACTTGGGTTACAGCTGCATGAGAGCATTGCGTGCAGCCTGCTCTGTGGGCTGGAGACACACAGCTCTGCTTTGTGCACTCCTGCACGGCAGGCAAAGCTGTGCAGTGTTCTGGAAGGTACCATGCACTGCAGCAGCAGAGCAGGAGCTGGTGGAGAGGCCAACCTGAGCGTCCAGGATGCTGTTTTTTGATGAGAGCTTTTAAGCTAAGTACAGATCATTCTGTCATCAAGTCACAGAGAGGTGCAGCAGCCTCAGGGACCTGGTACACTGGGTCTTGATTCCATGCTGTGTCTCAGCTCCTGTAGCACCAGCTGCTGAACAGGTTTGAGGAGCTTTGAAAGCATTGCTGCTGACTCACAGCCTTGGCCCTACCTGGGCCATTGCTCTGGTCTATAGCCTTGGCATTGGAGCGAGCCTTTGGGCACATGCAGAGCTCTGGCAGCCCCACAGGGCACTGCCTGGCCTGTCACAAGCCCCTGGTGTGGCTTCTCTGGCTGCTTCTGGGAATCTTCCACCATGGTGAGAGCCAGGAGGAGGCACTGAGCTGGTGGCACTGACTGGCCCGCTGCTGTCCCTGCTCGTGGCTGCAAGGAGAGCTCTTCCCACCAGGTGTTACTCAAGCATATTTAATGGAAATGCATTTCACTTGGAATTTTTTAACTATGTCAGCACCTGAAATCCCCAGCAACAGTTGATACTTAGGCATTAGGGTTCCATGATCTTATTGTGTCCTTTGAAGCTACCTGCAGCTTCTGGCAAGGTGCTGAGCTGAGAATTATGACATGTTCATTTCTGCAGGGTCCGGAACAGAGTCTGACAGCGATGAGTCTGTACCAGAGCTCGAAGAGCACGACTCCACACAGGCCACGACACAGCAGGCACAGGTAGGGAGGGGTGTGAGCCAGCCACCCCCTGTGCCCTGCGGGGTCAGAGATGCCCTGTGCCCCATCAGCTCTGCATGGTTGTCACAGCACTCTCCTGTTTGCTCTTCTTGCAGCTTGCAGCAGCAGCTGAAATAGATGAAGAACCTGTTAGCAAAGCAAAACAGAGCCGAAGTGAAAAGAAAGCACGGAAGGTAAGGGGATGGCAGATGGGCAAATGTGCATCTGGACAAGCTTTGGCTTTGGGTCTGGCATATTATCCTCAAGTGCTTGGTGTTTGCTTTGGGAAGCCATTTGGGGCAGCAGCTCCTCACCTCCCAGCCCAGCACTGCAGCAACAGCAGGGTCTGTGGGAGCTGCAAGAGATTTGTATGACTATTTGCCTTCATTAAACCCCTAGGCAAGGGAATGTCCTTGTTCACAGGCAAAATCCTTGTGTCTGGAGTGGTTCCAGATCACGTGGATCCATGACGTGGATCTTTGCCTGTCCTGGGAGTTAAGAGTTTTCTCCCGGACTCTACGCTGTGTCAGTCTGAAAGCCTGGGAATGACTGATGAGGGGACACGTCTCACGGGCTGAGCTGTCTCAGTACCTCTTCATCCCCCCGCTTTTCTTTCTCTTTGTTTTTCAGGCAATGTCTAAACTCGGCCTCCGCCAGGTCACAGGAGTAACCAGAGTCACCATCCGCAAATCTAAGAACATCCTCTTTGTCATCACAAAACCAGACGTGTACAAGAGCCCAGCATCAGACACCTATATAGTCTTTGGAGAAGCAAAGGTGAGCTGACTGCCATGCCAGGCAGCCACACTCCTCCGTGTTAACAGCAGCAGGGGCAGGCTGCAGGGCTGTGAGGGGTGCTGGAGGTTTGTCCTTGCTGCCTGCACCCCTGTTTGTGCCCTGGGGTGGTACAGGCGGGCCCACAGCCCACACCAATGTCTTGCATCCCTGTGGGGCTGCTGTGTGCGGGCGCTGCTGAGTTCAGCCTCGCTCATCTGAGCCCGTGCACTGCCATCAGACTGCACAGACCTGGCCTCACTTCTGCTCCTTCCCTCCTCCAGATTGAAGACTTGTCCCAGCAGGCCCAGCTGGCAGCTGCCGAAAAGTTCAAAGTGCAAGGAGAAGCTGTGTCAAACATCCAAGAAAACACACAGACCCCCACCGTGCAGGAGGAGAGCGAGGAAGAAGAGGTGAGCCTTCCCCTGATGGCCCCGCAGGGCTTCTCCATCCACCTCGTGCCTGCGGTTGTGTCTGATGGGCAGCCAAGCAGGATTTGTGTGCAGGCACAGAGTTCTCCTCCATCCACCTCCGCCTCAGTGGCAGCCCTCTGTAGGGCTGCACAGCGGGGGCTGCTCAGAGCAAACCGTGCTCGGCTGCAGCCAGACCCGGGCTCTGTGTCCCCAGGTTGACGAAACCGGTGTGGAGGTGAAAGACATCGAGCTGGTCATGTCCCAGGCCAACGTGTCCCGAGCAAAGGCAGTCCGTGCCCTGAAGAACAACAGCAACGATATCGTAAACGCTATAATGGTGAGCTGCTGTGCTGGGGGGGGTCTGCACCCACATCCCCCGTGCTGTGCTTGGGGTCCATTGGGGGGCTGCTGACGCCTCTTTCTCTCCGCAGGAGTTGACGATGTAGCCGTCCAGAGGAGGAGCCTATTTTTTTTTTTTTGGTATTTCAGAGAAGAGTTAAAGGAACCTAAATTTAAAATTTGTACTGTTTCTATCAGTTAATAAAAGTTAATTGATAGAGCCGCACTGAGTGAAGGCGCAGCTTCTCTCGGACGCGCTCCCCCCGCCCCCCCCGTCTCCATGGCAACCGCCGGCTCCGCCCCCCGCGAGGGCGCGCGCAGTGCGCATGCGCGCCGAGAAGCTGCTAGAAGGGAGGAGGGAGCGGGCGCGCGCGAGGGGGGAGGCGGGGAGGGGGCGGGGCCCGCGCGCGGGAGGCGACACGCGGGACACGCGCATGCGCAGCGAAGGCGGCCGAATCGGCGCGGCGGTATTTTGCTGCGTCACCAACGCTGGGCGCCGCCGCCGCGCGGAGCATTGTGGGAGCTGAGGCCGCGCCGAGCCCGGAGCCCTCGGAGCGCCCGGAGCCCTCGGCCCACCGAGCCGCGTCACCGCCACACCGGACCGGAGCGCCCCGGAGCCGGACGGGCCGCCCCTCCCCCGCCCCGAGCAGCGCCAGCCGGAGTCGCCGCCGCCGCCACTCGCCATGTGAGGCCCTGCGGGGGTCGGGGGGGTCGCCGCGCTCCGGTGCGCGCCGCGGCCGGGCCGGGCCTCGGTGCGAGCGGCGCTGACCTTCGCGGGGCCGCGCCGCGCCGGGCCGGGAGCTCCGCGCTCGGCGGCGCGCCGGGTCCCGGTCCGCGGCCTGTCCCGGCACGGCGCCGCGCGGGGCCCCGAGAGCCGCTCCGCTCCGCCCGGGCCGCTCCGCCGCGCAATGAATGGGCACCGGGGCGGGGCCGTCCGCCGCTGCGGCCCGGGGTGGGGCCTGGAGGGGGTGGACGGGGCGGGGGGGCGCCGGGCCGGGTTGAGCGCTGAGCCCGCCGGGGTTGGGCCGCTGGGGGCTCGGCTCCGATGGAAGCGCGGTGGTTGAAGTCGGTGCGAACGGCGGCGCCGTTCCGACGGGTTTTATTTGTCCCAAACTCCGCGCTTGGGGCGAATAAACGGTGATACGTCCGGTGGGAGCAGCGTGGTTTGCCCCTGTTCGCCTGCGTGGCCCCGCTCTGAGCTCTGGAGCTGCTGGATGTGACTGAAAAGGCGAAAAGCAGCGCGGTGCTCTGTAACCTTTGAGGAGCGCATCATCCCGAAACCTCGGCGCTGCTGCACTGCGCCCGGGGCTGCGCTCAGGGCCCACGTGGTGCTGGGAGATGAAAGCAAAAGTAGTTATGCAGAACAGAACTCGTAATGCTGGATGTGGAGCTGGGAGGTTTTCTTGTGATTCTGTCTGGGGGTGAGAATCTTTGTCCAGCAGATGATGTCTGTAACCATCAAAGTGTTCTCCAGGACAGGAATGTGCCTTCCCAGTGTGCAGAACGGGTAAGAGAAAGCACGTGGGCAGCCTTGGGAACATCCTGGATGGCCTCAAGCAGCACCCGGTGTGACCTGACTTCAACGTGGGGGCACAGGGCGTGAGGATCCCCCTCGCCTGCACCCACCGAGGGGTGAGGGGGCTTCTCAATCCAGCACAGTGCTGCAGTGATCATTGCCATCCACGTTGGGTAGCGATAGTGCAAGGGGGAATGGTCTTAAACTGAGACAGGGGAGGTTCCGGGTGGATATGAGGAGGAAGTTTTTCACACAGAGGGTGGTGAGGCACTGGAACAGGTTGCCCAAGGAGGCTGTGGATGCCCCATCCCTGCAGGCATCCAAGGCCAGGCTGGATGTGGCTCTGGGCAGCCTGGGCTGCTGGTTGGTGACCTGCACACAGCAGGGGGTTGGAGCTGGGTGAGCACTGTGGTCCTTCTCAACCCAGGCCATTCTAGGATTCCATGACTAGAGGAGGGTTCAACACAGGTGTAGAGTAGTGGTTCAGGAGGTCACCAAAATCTATGGGTGGTGGTGAGAGCTCACCAGGAATTTGGGGAGGGCTCCATTGCTGCACTGGGCACCGCTTTGTGCCTGGCAGTTTGTTGTTGGGTGGGACATAACGTTTATTTGCTCTGTTCTGGAGCAGTCTGAATGTGGTTAGGACAGGAGAATGATCCATCACCAAAGTACACACTCGAGTTGACAATGTTGGCATAAGGCTGAGGTAATGTTCAATTAATTTATTCTGCTCTCATGCTATGAGCTCAGCTGAGTGAGGAGGAAGCGCAGGGCTTTGCTTAACGATCCTGACATCCTTCTCAGTGCTGTGAGGAAATGGGTTCTGGGTCTGTGTGGGTGTGGAGGAACCACCTGCACTGCTCACCCAGGGTCTGCTCAGAGCAGTCATGGTGTGGGCAGCAGCACAGCAGGAGATCCTGGCTTCTGGTGGTGATTCCTGCATAGCTGCCCTATTCAAATGCTGAGTCCAGCCTGAAGTGCTGCATCCAGCAGCCTGGGGAAGGCCTCTGTTCTGAGAGGGGGGAAAAAAATCAGTGAGTAGTTCCTGTAAGACTTTGGCACAGTTTTAATGTGGTACAGTGAGTGTATTTCAGCATCTGGGGAGGTAGCAGAAGTTTGCTGTTAGAAACATGAATTTGTTCTAGTAAGCCGTAGTGCAGTTCGTTGAGGTTTTGGAGGCTCTGAGAGCAGTGCTGTTGGTGCCTCAGAGCACTGCATCTTGATAAAGATACCAACATCAGGGCTGGGCTGGGGCAGCACGACTGGGAAACGCGTGCAGCTCCCAGGGAAGGTCGGGGATATCTCCATTGACACTGCAGACATGTGCGAAGTCTTCTTGCTATTCACAAGAGCCCCAGCGCCGTGCTTAGCAGGGACACTGAGGCTGCTGTTGTGATAACAGTGCTGCACTGGGTGGTGGGATCTCTGTCCCTTGGCAGTGTGAGCGGTGGCTGCTGCACGGGGCTCTGCAGGGCAGACTTGCTGTAGGCACTCACAGCGTTTGCTGCTCTCAAAGCTGCAGGCAGAGTGCTGCACCCAGCAGCTGGGGACATGAAACTGGGTGGATTACCTTGAAGCAGTGCAGGAATCGCCCATGGAGTGGATCCACTTTGGTCTCGCTGTGCAGTGACTGAGGGGCTGCCTGCTTTTCTCACCGACAGCCCTTTTCCTGGTGTTTGTTTTGCTCACTCACCTTTGGCAGCTGAATCGCAGCAGCTGTGATCCCAACTCTGCAGTCAGAAAGAATAGTGGGGTTGGAACTTAAAGCAGTGTCCATTATGGCTGTGGGGCTGCTTTGGGCTCACAGCAGTGGCTGCACCCCGCAGGTCGCAGTGCAGGTGAGCTCAGTGCCAGCAGCTGAACGGGCTGGGAGTTGAGATCTGCTCTGAAAGCTTAGCAGCGGTCACCCTGATGGAACATTCTGGAAACTTAATCCGTCTTTGCTTGGGTTCTTGTGCTGTAATGCTTTAGAGTGCAGTGCTGAGTCCGAGCACCTCACAGTGTGAAGATGCTACAGAGAGCAGCACTGTGTTCTGTGTGTCCTGATGTGCTTTCACTGCCTGGAGCTGTGCTGTAAATACCAAAGGAAGTGACCGTTGAGTTCAGAACAGGAAACTTCAGGCCCAAAACACTGAAATTCCAGTGTTGCTCACACATCTCTGGAACGCAGCCTGGGAGCGAAGCGTCCATGCTCACTGTGCCATAGCAACAGCAGCTCCTGCTGGGTGTCCCTGTGCTCAGCACTGGAATGCGGATGTTGTGCTGTGGGGAGGGCTGCATGTGGTGGGAGCTGTCAGCAGGGCTGCTGTTACCCCCCTGGTCTGGGCAGGATGCACTCAAATACTGCTGCTCACCTGGAGGTTGAGCAGTATGGAAGCTCAGGAACCCAGCAGCTTTTTCTGCCCGTCAGAAGGGCAGAAGTTGCCCTCTGTCTCAAGGGGTGCCAGCTTGGAATTCAAGTCTCCAGGTGTAGGAAATTAAACGTGGGTCAGAACAGTGCTGGTTTGGTGGTACTGACTCCAGCTGGGTTTGACTTGAAGTTCTTAGCCCATTTTCTCTTCAGCCTTTATGTCTCTTCACCAGCTTTAAATGCACTTTTAAAGATTGTTAATTGTAAGCTTGTAGCTAAGAACAAGCTGAAGGTTTTCAAATGCACTCTAACTCAGACTGCTCTATCTGTGCCTCAGGAGAAACATGAGGGAAGCTGAAGGCGAGCAGCAATCCTAACCTGCGTGTCTTTAAATGGTCTCTCTGCAGGCAGCCTGCTTCTGCCAAGTGGTACGACCGGAGGGACTACGTCTTCATCGAGTTCTGTGTGGAAGACAGTAAAGATGTTAATGTAAATTTTGAAAAATCCAAACTTACGTTCAGGTAAGTGCTGGACAACCTTAGCACAAGGATGCCCACAGCTGTACCAGCACTGATTAGGTGATGTTTTCTCTTAAAGGAGCGAGTTCTGTTACCAACCTGTATTTATACCATAAGACATTTCCTGCTGAACATTCTTTTTTTTTTCTTCTCTCACCAGTTGTCTTGGAGGAAGTGATAACTTTAAACATTTAAACGAAATCGACCTTTTTAATAATATTGATCCAAATGTAAGTATCCTCTGCAGCTCTTCTCCTACCAGCTTCTTAACACTGTATGCAGAATGCTCAGCTCTTTCTCATGCACGCTGCCTGCCTTTCCTGGAGCAAGTTGCACCCTGCTGCTTCCATCCCAGTGCTGCTTTCTGTTAGCCCTCCTCACGTGTGGGGCAGGAGGGAGTTCTGCTCAGGCATTCCCAGGCACTCAATGCCACTTCACCTGCTGCATTCCCTCACAGTTTTCATTGTTCTAATTAAAAGCAAAGCACTGATGTCTGGATTGATACAGATCTGCTTGTAATGGGAGCTGTTCTGACAAATACCACGCTGTGATTTCACGTGTCTGAGTGCTCTTGCACTCTAAGGACCAACTTTTTCACAATACTGGCAGTAGCTTTAAGAACAGACAGTGCTTTTCAGGACAAAGAATAACTTAACAGCTTAAAACAATGAATACTACAAGTTTGTGGTGGTGTTACTGATTACTAAACTAACCAATATTTACTTTTTTCTTTTTTCCCCCCCCAGGAATCAAAGCATAAAAGAACAGACAGATCTATCTTGTGTTGTTTACGAAAAGGAGAATCTGGTCAGGCATGGCCAAGGTTAACAAAAGAGAGGGCAAAGGTGGGTTTCATCCCCTTGGTGGCCGTAGCAGCAGTCCTTGATGGCCCCTCTATTTTTTGGGTGGGTGGGGGTCACATTTGAACAATGCAGCGTTTGGCAGGTTGCTTACTTGGCTGCTGGTTGGGGTGGCAGTTCTGGTAGCTTTCTTCCTGTGTACTAACAGCTTGTCTTTAATTTTTTTGTGTGTATGTTAATACACAGCTCAACTGGCTCAGCGTGGATTTCAACAACTGGAAAGACTGGGAAGATGATTCAGATGAAGACATGTCCAATTTTGATCGCTTTTCTGAGGTATAGGAAGATGAATTCCTGGAGGTTTGGGTTCTGCTTGGCTGGGTGTGTGCGCAAGCAGTGACAGACAGCTTTAGAGAGTTCTCTTCCTCTGCCTTCCTCCTGCTCTCTGGGTGTCTAACCCAGTGAGAAAGGTCCTTGGTGCAGTGCTGACAAGCAGGAGAGCTCAGGGCAGGAAATAACAGCTCTGGAGCGGACTGTGGTTGCTTGAACTCATGCTGTGGGCTTCTGGCACTGCAGCTCGTGCTCGTTATCAAATGTGAAATGAATGCTTGTCCCACTGGTGTCGGTCACCTTGTAATTTCTGCGTAGCAGCAGCAAGGCTTGTCAGAACAGCTGGTGGCTGTTGGTTATCACAATTTTAAGCTAGTTTATAGGGTTTTAGTCTTGTTTATGTGGCTTCACTCTGTGGCTTTTATCTTTCTAAAACAGATGATGAACAACATGGGTGGAGATGACGATGTAGACTTACCAGAAGTAGATGGGGCAGATGATGTAAGTACTTTGCAGTCGATGTGTAGCTCTGGCTAAGCATGCTGCATGCTCAGTGCTACTTGCTGAAGTCGAGCTCGGTTTCCCCTCTTCAGCATAGTTCTAAGTATAAACGATGTCAGACCTTGTTTGTTAAATGATGTAGTTGAGCAGTAGCAGCTGTTTTCCCCTTTGGTTGTGCTGGGGACAGTTGCATCAGTGCTTGCAGTGTCCCAGGTAGCTCTGGTGTTGTACACCTTCCTGCAGTAATTGGTTATTGCTGGTCTGTCGACAACTACTGGTAAAACTTAACTAAGTCCTGTCCTGAAGAACCTGTACTTCCTTGGAATATGCTCTGACAGCAAGCTTGCTACTCTGAGCTTCTGAAAGTGCCCTCAAGCATCATCTGCTCCACTTAATGCCTTTTCTTCTTTCCAGGACTCACCAGACAGTGATGATGAAAGTAAGTCGGCATTTTTCTGCCCCTGTGCAGCAGTCTGTGTGTGCTGGGGCTGGAGGGAGCTGTGCAGGGCTAGCTGTGCTGCCCTATGGGTCACACTAAATCCAGGCTGCCAGCTGATGTCAGCGCCTCTCTTCAGCAGCATAAAATGTAACGTGGAAAGCCTTCCCACACCAGCATGAAATACTTGTGTGACCTTCCTGGGCTGCTGTAGCCCTGCTGAAGCTTTGGCTGTGAGAGCAGCAGTCGCTGACACGAACATCAGTGCCTTCAGTGCTGCCACAGTTGAGCTCCTGCCCTGCCAGCAGTGGCTGCGCACAGATCTTGCTCGTAAAGAGCCATGTCTGCACTTCAGTGCCAGCAGCACTGAGCCCAGAGACCCTGAACTGCTCTGTGCCTTCCTGGCTATGGGCTGTATCTTCTTGCTCACGTTGGCAGTTGGTGGCTTTGTTTTTGTTATGGCTAGTGTTATTATAAACACTAATACTTTTTTTTTCTTCTTTCCTATCTAGAAATGCCAGATCTGGAGTAAGGAAAACTGTCGTCTTCAGGGTTTGGGGAAAGAACTTCATCACATTTCATAATTGAGATAAGAATTCCTGAGTTGATAGCCCTAAGGGGAGATATTGCATCCTTTAACCCATTTTTTTCAGTCCATTTTAAATGGCTTCACTGATGGTAGGTGTGTACCATTGTGCGGGGCAGTCTTAAGCCACGAGAGGCAATAAATGATGTTATGCATGAATTCCAGACTTCCAAAAACCAATTGAGGTATGGGCAATCGATCCAGAACAGTCGCAATAAAGTTTACAGAGCCTCCTTGCCTCGTAGCAGACCTGACAGCAGAGCAGGCTTTACGTCCTGTGCTCAATTGGCTTTTTCCCCTCTGTGGCCCACGGTTAAATCTGACTTTTGTGCCCGGAACAAAAAAAACTTCTTGGATTTGGCTCACCAAAATTTGAACAAGCGCTGCGCAATACCTCTGTGGTGTCTTCAGGTGTGTTCCACTAATGTTTTTATTAAAAAGGAAACAAAATCCTCTCTGTTTGCTATTTTAATGGTTAGTTTTGTGTGTCCTGGTGCCCGCGCTGTGAGGGGTGAGGCCCAAAATCCACCCCCTGCCCCATGGATCCGTGGGGCCGCGTCGTTGCTTGTGGATCTGTTCGTGAGACCAAATGTATTTGCACTGCTGGTATGGAAGCAAGTGACAACACCGTTGTCCCCGATGGGCTCCTCTGTTGGTTACCCGGCCAGGCTGACAAACCTCAATTTCTGTTCAGAGCGGTGGGAATTTTTTTAATGTCTACATTCTTTCTAATAAACTGTTGAAGACTCCACCCTGCCTCTGCTCCGTCTGACTGCGCGGCCGTGGCTCCGGGAGCCGCTCGGAGGGGCCGGGCTGCGGCCGTTCCGTTACCGCGGGCCGAAATGGCGGCGGGGCGGGAAATGTCCGCGCGCCGGGAGCGGGGCGGGAGGCGGCGGTCACCGCGCCCGGCCCAAGGACACACGCAGAGCGCGTGCGCTGCCGCTTCCGGCGCCTTGCACCCGCCCCTTCCGGCCGATCCGCTCACCGCAGTGCCCAATCGCTGCGGGGCGTTTCTAGACAGTCGCGCGCGCGGCCCAATCGTGAGGAGGCGCGACGAGAGCCGGGACGCGTCCAGCCAATCGGAGCGCGAGAGCGGGAGGCGCGGGTCGGCTTCTACCCAATGGGCGCGAGCGGTGGGCGGCAGCGCGCGCGGAGGGCCCGCCCCCTGTGGGCCGTGTCGGGCGGGCGGAGCGCGGGGCTCAGTCGGCGCCGCCATGTTGGGGCTCGCGGTTCGCCGCTCCGCCGCCGCCGCCACCGCCGCCCGCCCGGCGCTGCGCCGCGCTGCCGGGCCGGCCCATGGCTTCCTGCCGCTGCTCCTCAGCCGCGGGGCCGGCCCGGCCGCCGCCGTCGGTGCGCGTGAGTGCGGAGCGGCCGCGGGGTCACCTTGGGGCCTACGCGGGCGGGGGGCGTCGCGGCGAGCGCCGTTCCCGGGCCCCGTTAAGGCGGAGCGGCCCTCAGCGCCCGCCTCGACTCGCTCTCTCCTTTAGGCCGGGACCACGCGGCTCAGGCGGCCCCCGCCGCCAAGGCCGGCTCCGCCACCGGGCGCATCGTAGCCGTGATCGGCGCCGTGGTGGACGTGCAGTTCGACGAGGGGCTGCCGCCCATCCTGAACGCCCTGGAGGTGCAGGGCCGGGAGACGCGACTGGTGCTGGAGGTGGCCCAGCATTTGGGTGAGCGGGGCTGGGGCTGGGGGGTCCTCTTCCGGTGATGATGGATTTCGGTGACTTTCGTTCTTCTGAGCTCGCTGAAGCCACACGCGAAAATCTGAGGAGGAGGAGGAAGGGGAGGAAGGTGGCTGCTGGGGGGCCGCGCTTTGCCGGGGGGCTGCAGCCCGCAGGGCCTCCACTTGAGGCTGCGTTTTCCCTGCGCTGTTTTGTCCTTCAGTGCCTCTCGCAGCAAAGCATCCTCTTGGCAGGGGTGGGAGGAGGTGTGCAGCTGTCCCCAGGGTCAGCCCGAGGGCACTGCGGTAACTCTGCCCTCGGCAGGGGAGAACACGGTGCGCACCATCGCCATGGACGGCACGGAAGGGCTGGTGAGGGGACAGAAGGTGCTGGACTCCGGCGCTCCCATCCGCATCCCCGTCGGCCCCGAGACCTTGGGAAGGATCATGAATGTCATCGGGGAACCCATCGACGAGAGGGGCCCCATCACAACGAAACAGTGAGCGATGCTGCAGGCCGGGCCGCGGTGCTGTGTGGGGTTTGGAGGCAGGGGCTCGGGGCCTGGCAGCGATTGCTGCCCATAACGGATCGAGGGGATCTGCGTTGGTCGCTCAGTTTCTTCCCTCTCGTGCTGCAGGTTTGCTGCTATCCACGCCGAAGCCCCTGAGTTTGTGGAGATGAGCGTCAAGCAGGAGATCCTGGTGACAGGCATCAAGGTGGTGGACCTGCTGGCCCCCTATGCCAAGGGTGGCAAGATCGGTACGTAGCCCCCAGGGGATGGAGGAGCAGAGGCACTGTGCCCACCACGAGGCTCAGAGCCCATCCCCACACAGCAGCTTCCTTCGCTGATGAGTAACCTTTTGACTTTCGTTCTACTGAGCTTGCTGAAGCAACGTTTATTGTCTGAGGAGGAAAGGGATGAAGGGAGACCCCAGGGTGGTGGGATTGGCTCTGGGTTGAGTGGGTCACCCTTTCCCCCAGGTTTGTTTGGAGGCGCTGGCGTCGGCAAGACAGTGCTGATCATGGAACTGATCAACAACGTGGCCAAAGCTCACGGCGGTTATTCGGTGTTCGCCGGTGTGGGGGAGCGAACCCGCGAGGGCAACGATTTGTACCATGAGATGATTGAGTCCGGGGTCATCAACCTGAAAGATGCCACCTCCAAGGTGCTGTGTGAGGCCTGGGCTAGGCTGGGCTGGGGGCCTGCTGGCACAGCAGCTGTGCTGATGTTGGGTCTGCTCTTGTGCCAGGTCGCTCTGGTCTATGGACAGATGAATGAACCCCCGGGTGCCCGTGCCAGGGTGGCTCTGACTGGGTTGACAGTGGCAGAGTACTTTAGGGACCAGGAAGGCCAGGACGTGCTGCTCTTCATCGACAACATTTTCCGCTTCACCCAGGCTGGCTCAGAGGTTGGTGCTGACTGCAGGGCAGCCAGCTGCCCCAGCATCAACCACCCTTTGTCAGGCCCATCCCCATAGCAATGCTGCCCTTCACGTGGGCACTGCTTGTTGTCTCACCGTCTCTGTTTCCTCCTAGGTGTCAGCCTTGCTGGGCAGAATCCCCTCTGCTGTGGGCTACCAGCCCACGTTGGCCACTGACATGGGCACCATGCAGGAGCGGATCACCACCACACGCAAAGGCTCCATCACCTCAGTGCAGGTAGTGCCAGTGCTGTGCCCTCTGGGCTGGGGACCCCACAGCACCCACCTGCGTCCCACGGTGCCCACCCTCCCCGCAGGCCATCTACGTGCCAGCAGATGACCTGACAGACCCTGCCCCTGCCACCACCTTCGCCCATTTGGATGCCACCACGGTGCTGTCCCGTGCCATCGCCGAGCTGGGCATCTACCCTGCTGTGGACCCGCTGGATTCCACCTCCCGAATCATGGACCCCAATATTGTGGGGCCCGAGCACTACGACGTGGCCCGGGGTGTGCAGAAGATCCTTCAGGTGAGGGGAGGATGGGGCAGCGACTGCTGGGGATGCCTTTGGGGTGCAGGAAGCCTGGCTGCTCACCACCTGCTTTGGTCCCCAGGACTACAAGTCCCTGCAGGACATCATCGCCATCCTGGGCATGGATGAGCTGTCTGAGGAGGACAAGCTGACTGTGGCCCGGGCCCGCAAGATCCAGCGCTTTTTGTCCCAGCCCTTCCAGGTGGCTGAGGTCTTCACCGGCCACATGGGCAAGCTGGTGCCCCTGAAGGAGACCATCAAGGGCTTCAAGCAGATCCTGGCAGGTGAGGAGGGGGCAGGGGGAGCTGGGGGGCCCTGCCCTGGGCCTGGCGCCAGCTCCCCCTACCGCTGGCTGTGTTCTTCCCCCCAGGTGAATACGACCACCTCCCGGAGCAGGCCTTCTACATGGTGGGGCCCATCGAGGAGGCAGTGGCCAAGGCAGAGAAGCTGGCTGAGGAACACGCGTGAGCAGGGCCGCCTTCACCCCTCCCGGCTCCGTGCGGGGCCAGACCCAAAGTATTTAAGGTTTCCAATAAAACGTTGGTGAAAACAGCCCGGGCCCTGCGTGCAGAGGAGCCCTTCCCCACCCAGGGGTACATCTGGGAGGGGCCTCTGCCCTCCCCCCCATCCTGCTGTACTCCTTGGGGGGGAATTATTGCAGCAGTGCAGTGCCCTGTGCTGCATCCAGCTGCCTCCAGCAGTGCGGGGCCTCTTTTTTGGGGGGGTCTGCACCCACCCGGCGTGCCCTTGTGTGGGGCTGCGCGGTGGAGCACAGGGAGGGGACCAGTGGCAGCTGCCTTCAGCGGGGGGGGCAGGTCAGCCTTCCCCCCCCAGCCCCCACCCCATCGTGCAGCACAAAGGGCTCCCGCCTGGCCCTGCCAGATGGGGCTTTGTCTGCGGGTCCCGGGGGGGCGGTCCGGGCCCGCCCTGTGTGGGATCACCGAATCCCGAGCCCGGGGGCTGTGGCCGAGCGGCGCCGAAGGGAGTGGGGGAAACGCGGTGTTCCCTGGGGGGGGACAGGATGGAGGGGGGGTCCCCTTAGCAGTGCCCCCCCCGCCGCAAAGCGCTGCGGCTCCTTTAAATGGCGGCGCGTCCCGTGCCCGGGGGGGGCGGTGCTGACATCACGCGGGGCCGCGAGCACCGGCACAGCCCCGGGCGGCCCTGCGGCACCGGCACCAGAACCGGCACCGCCCGAGGTACGCGCTGCGTGACGCCGGACCCCCCCACCCCAACGGGGCTGAGACCCCCCCCTTCTCCCCCCCCCCAGGCTGGGATCGGGGCTCCGCACCGGGACGGCCCCCCTCCAACCCCCGCCGTCGGTGCCGGTGATGTCAGCGGGGAAGCGGAGGAGCCGTTCCCGGTTGATGGCGGTGGGAGGCGGCGGCCCCACGTGGGGGATTCCCCCCCGCCCTCCCCGACCCCTCCGGGGGCGGAGATCCCCCCCCACGTGGGCGCGCGTCCGCCCCGCGCTGACGCCGCCGCCGCTCCCGGTGACGCCACCGCGGTGACGCGGGGAGGAGGGCGGGGCGGGGACCGCCCGGCGGCGCGCGGCGCTTCCTGCCCTGCGCCGCTCGGCCCGGTCCGGTTCGGCTCCGCTCTGCGGCCCGGTCCGCTCGGAAGGACCGCGCCATGCGGAGCCGCATCCCGCCCCGCACCGCGTGAGCCGGGCCCGCGGCGCCGCTGCCAGGTGCGGGGGTCGGGGGGGGACGGCGGGCGGAGCGCTGCGCGGCGGTCGGTAACGGCGGGGGCGGCGGTTGGGACCTGCGGGGCTCCCCCCCCCCCCCCCCCCCCCCCCCCCCCCCCCCCCCCCCCCCCCCC